GGCCGGTCCCTCTGTGCCCCCTAGCCCCTCCTGCCCGCCCCAGGGGCTCTCCCCTCCGCCCTGCCCAGTTTCCTGCCATTCTCCTCCAGCGCTGCTCTGGGCTCCTGAATGAAAGAAACCAACGGAATCATCCGGGTTTGGCCGCCGGTTTGATTTCACCTTTCAAAAACAAACTAAAAATAGAGAGCTGGACTAAAAATAGATGATGACCAGGTCTGGCAGACAGCGAGCAGGGGAAGCTCATGGGTTTGGTTTCCAGTGGAAGTCGGGCAGCGTCTAAATGACATTCCCTGTGGCAGAGATGTAGGGGTTCATTAACGCTTATGTCCAGCGTGTCTGAGCACGTCACTTCACGCCTTGGGGCTCATTTTGGGGGAGTGACTCAGCTAAGCATGGCACAACAGGTAAATCTAACATATCCTCAAATGAAGAGCCAGGGAAACCCACCATCAGCTGCTCAATCAGATTATTCTTCAATCAAAAGCACTGTCTGCAGAGGACTTTAGAGGAGAGACCTGAAGATGCTGCCACCCATCCAAGCACTCTGCCTTCCGAGCCTCCGCTGTTCCTCCAGCGCAGGCATCGCCGTGCTCCCGTCAGGGCACGCATGGCAAAGGGCAGTGGCAGCAGGACCATGCCCACGCTCTGGCACAGCGGGACCCTGCCTACCCCCTGGCACAGCACCGCCAGCCACAGGGCCGGGATGAGGCTGACCCACCGTAACCAGGAGCAAGTTGGGCTTTGCTGCCCGATGCCTTTCGCAACCATCTTTCGGAGCTGCTGTGGAGTGGGCAAACTCTTCGGCTCGGGGGGTGTATGTATGTGTGTGCACATCTCCACGCATATTCCAAACACTCAGAACATCCAGCTGTCTCCAGGTTCTGCAGTTATTTCCGCCTGTTTGTTGAACGAGCGGAAGAGAACAACTTTTTATGTTGATATGACTCTCCACTGAAACCTCTGTTTAAAAAGTGTCTTGAGCACGTTGCAAACAAACACTGTGGAATTATTTCCTCCTTTCAGACCCCTAACAAATTCTTACAGTTAAAAATGTAAAGACCAAACCAAGAAACATGCACTTGAATTATCTCGAAGCAGTCTCTATCAGCTGTATGAGGTCAACAACAGCCCAGCCAATTTCAGCTAAACATTTACAGGATCAAGTGTCCAAATTTCAAACAGCACGGTGATGGAGGCTAGTTCACATAGGCTGGGAATTTGTCCAAGTATTTAAGGGTGATTTAATTTAATTGTGAGTGATGCAATAGACATATGGCTAGGAAGTCATATGCCAGGAAACATGTTTTCTATAAGTATTTTAGCAGGCAGATGGCATACAATAGTTTCGGTGTAGTCATTTCCCCGTCTCTTAAAAGTTACTATTTTGGACAGATGAAATAATTAGGTTCCCACCATCCTCCCAAGACACCAGCACTGCTGGCCCAGAGGATGTGCAACGTTAGAGGACTATTTCTGTACAAAACCCCATCAAATAAATCAAACCTTACGCTCAGCTCTCCATTGCCATTCAAGAGTTTCAAAGAGCTTAAATAACTTTCCCACTTAAACGCTAAGCGAGTATTAACGCTGCACAGCACTTCCACCGCACGGGCGGGAACAGAGGCACGTGGAAGCACTTGGAGCAAAGCCACACCACAGCCAAACCCCAAAAGCCAAAAGTTTTGTGTCTCAGCCTGAGCAACCAAACGGCACCACTTCCCAGACGGACCAACGCTTTCTGGCAATCACAGCCGATCTCCTACGCCCACCGCGCTCAGGCTTCCGAAGAACTGCTGCGGGAGGGCCAGCTGTCGGGAGCGGTACGAGCATCCCTACGCCTGCACGGGGTGGGACAGCCAGAGCAGAGTATGAAGCTGCAAATAAGAGTATTTGACTGAAGCTTGGGTTATTTCTCCTAGTAAAGCTTCTAAGATGCTGTTGGAGCAACATCTCCTTTGTGTTAACAGGAGGCATGGGACCAAATCCTGACTGGGGCTGAGCAAGGGGAACTCCTGTCCGCTGCTAACGCAGGATACAAGCTCTCTGCTCCGAGCATTCGGCTCCTGAGGAACAAACTGATTGTGATTCATCCAAGAAAGGGAAAAGAGCTCAAAAGCTTCCCTAATATTATCCTTATCGCGGTTTCCTTAAGAACTTGTCACCTATTTGTTTGATTGCATTTGGTTTTGCACGTTATTACATTTATATTGTAACTCTTGGGGCAGGAAATGCTTCCTTTAATAGTGTTTCAGAAACTACATCCTGAGACTCCTATCAAGGCATCCTTTGTGCAGAGGCTGTTCTGGAGAGATTACTGCTGTGATTTCTACATCAGAGCTTCTCCGGAGCCATCTGCTTCTCCCAGCCCTGGAAGAGATGCTCAGCCCTGCAGCAGCCTCCCTGCGTGCGGGTGGGCACGCTGCCCGCTGGTGCAGGAGGAT